GGGGCTGAACAAACTAGACTTCTTTGGGCAGGAAAGGAGAAAGAACAGTTCCCGGAAAAGAAAAAGGGCACCCGAGGAGCTGTGTTTTGTGAGGGGAAGATGTTCTTATTATTGAGGTTAATCATGGTAAAGATCTGGTATGGCTGGGTCAGCCCAAGAGACCGCCCTCTCCAAAGTTCTTTCTCACAGAGGCTTCTCTGGAGGAGTCAAGGGTTCCCCAACTTGATTGTGGTTGGGAAAAATAAAATAAAGACCTCCAATCCCTTCCTCTGCCTTTTCCTCTCCCTGCCTTAAAAACTCCAGAAAAAAGGGAAACCTTATTAAACCTCCATCACCCCGCTCCATTTTCCTCCGCTCTCTCCAGTTTACTAAAATGCACTCTTTGGGAAATGAGCTTTTCTGGAGTACCCTTCTTGTGAAGCAATAGAGGTGACCCGACCAAGTCCCCATGAATTCTGACGCCGACCCTGGAGAGGACCCAGGATTCCCTTGCCTACTGTAGAATTCTCTCTCTATCCCTAGCCTTTCCCAGTCTCTGCCTTCTTTGGTCTTGGGTGCCTAACCTCATGGGTCTCTGGCAGTTCAGAGGCCAAGAACAGATTAGGGGACTTTGAGATACCCTCGTCAACTCTTAAAAGTGTTTCCAGCTTCCTGTCATCTCTTTAATACTGGGAGTACCAGGCCAGGGAGCCCTCCATAAACTAACCTAAGGCCAGCCTGATTTCTAGATCTTTTCAAGCCACATTGAGTTTCCTTTAAAAATAAAAGTCCTCCTCCCCAGCAAGAAAGTTCAGGTTACAAACCTGCAAAAGAGCAAGGTTCCTGCATCCACACATCAGAATTCTCAGCAACAACAATTTTCATAATAAGAATTAAAGCTTGCATCAAAGAGCAAGGGCCACCTCAAACCAAGTTTTAAAGGGGATATAATCCAGCAGTCTCTAGTGGGATGGGGGCCAATGAGGCCGGGATGAGGGAGGAAGGTGGTGGGGAACCCAACCTCTAACTAACAATTTCTCCAGCATAAAAATGAAACATCAAATTCGTTAGCCCAGGGCCTTCATTTTTCCCCTTCCACATTATAACTAGTTATTGAACTCGCTGGAAGATCTAAAGGCCATTTGCGAAGAGACAAATTTCAATGGAGTTTCCCCATCAATAACCCCATGGCAGTGACCTATTGGAACAAGTCAAACACCCGAGGTGAAATGCAGGTCACTCTGTCTAACCAATATTAAAATGCGGCCACTTTTTAAAAAGCCACTTTAAACGAGATTTGAGGAAAATTGAATTCCAAGGAAGGCAAGGCAAGGCGGGGGAAATCCATGAGAGAACCTTGCCTATGGTCTCTGAACAAACGAGAGAAATTCATCTTTAATATTTTAAAGGGGGGCAAATTAACATTCCAAGATTGCTTTTTTTTTTTTTTTTTTTTTTTAAGACTATAAGCGATTCCAGGAGAAAAAAAGGTTGAGTATTTTCTGGTGACACATCCGGGTTATTAAAATCATTTTAGACCAATTCATTACTTTTACTGACAAGAGATTTAAGAAAAAATCAATTAAGTATTTGCATATTCTTTTGCATACATTAGCCCTGGCTGTTGGCATTAGAAAGGGACACACACACACACACACACACACACACAAAGGGATATGAGCCTTGATTTAGTTTGGGGTTTTCTCGTTGCCCAGAGGAAAAAAAAATCAAAGTGAAATGAATTGCCTGATTGCATACCATCTAAGAGTCAATCTACATGAGTGAAAGGAAACAAACATGTTGCAACTTTTAATCCCTAAAACAACAACAACAACACTCACACACAAAAACCCTGCATTTCGAAGAGGAGGGGAAGGAATGACCCTCATTTTCCTTCCCTTTGCTCTCCAAATCCTGAATTGGTTCTCCCATTTATTTTTCTCCCTTGGAAAAACCAGAGAGGGGTGAGATTTTAATGCAGCAGAGAATCTGTGGAGCCGCTGAGCTCTCTCAGCCAGCAGCTTGTTACTGGGGAGGGGAGGAATATGGGTTATCCAACGGTCAGTATGGTAATGCAGGCACAATAAGGCCTCACACACAATGAACACATATTTTTCTTCAGCGATGTCAGAAGGGAAGCGCTTTGTACTGCAACATGTTTCCGAAAGAAAAACCAAATCGAGATTTAGAAAGGAGATGGGCTGGAGGGACGATGTGCAGAGAGCATTTGGATGCTGGCAAAAGGTAGTCAGAAAAAAATAAAAATAAATAAAACTGGGGCAAAGCAAGGTGGAGGGCAGGGCAGAGGTGCGAGTGCCTGGGCTAGCAAGGCGGGAGGCGGGAGGGTGAAGCACAAAAGAAGACAGGACCAGATATAAGGATTCATCACAGATGAGAGCTGCTTTAGTACCCCCACCCCCTCCCAATTAAGCCATTGCTAAGTGCAAAAGCCCTTCCAAAGGATTTGGTTTCTGTGCTTGTAGTAATATGCAGGTGAAAATGTGTTTATGTATGTGTGTGGTATTTTACCCATGTGATAGGCGACTTCCTTGCCATTAAGCTATAGGAGCCCAAAGGGAGTGGCTGTTGTTGTTTTGTAAGTGATGTAGATGAGTGTGGGCACATTTGGGGGAATCTTGGAGATTTCACTTTCTGGATGTGCATGTTGATTGAATTAGCTGCACAAACCTGGAATGAGAACTCTACATATTTATAGCTGCATAAAGAGGCATTTAATATATTAATAAATATTAATAGTGTGCATGCATATATGTTAATCATAATAACCAATGACAGATTTGACATTCAGTTGGAGGTATCTGAACCCTCTGTGTCTACTACTTATACTGGCCCAAAGTCAGTCTCCTTGACCCACCTGCAGAAGCTCAGAAACCTGGCAGGGGTGGGGTGTGACAGGCAACATATTGGAGAGGACTCCTTAACAAGTCCAGGAGGGTGAAGATTGAAGAAAAGAGGTTTAGAGTTGGGGCAGGGGTGGTAGAAGGTGAGTGTGAGGGCTGCGAGAGGAAGAGCCAGGCTGACAGCTTGCCTTTCCAGGTGAGGCAGCCTTACCCAGGTACAGGCCTAGAAGGGGACTAGGAGTGGGGCCTGGAAGGTTTCCTCCCTCTTCATCAACCCTCTCCAAACTCTCCCAAAGTTCGCTGAGTTTTAGACCTCCCCATGGAGCCATCTGGGACTACAGTTCAGACTTAGTTACTGGGGATTCAGCACTGGTTTCCCTTTGCCCTCTTCCAGCAATTTATAATGAACCCACCCCCACCACCAATGATTAAAATAAGAAAACCCTCACACAACCCAATCCACTATTCACCAAGTGGCAGCCTCCCTCCACCCCCTCACTCGTACTCTCAAGTTCCTCTTCCAACTAAGCCAGCCCGTCCCCACATGCAGAAGGTTCCGGACAAGAGTGGGCAAAGGTTCTCATCCAACTCTGAGAATCTGGCAATCTCCATAAGAGGTGGTCAGCCTCTGGGGAACCCCTGCCCTGTTCCTTCACCTGGCCTGGTGACAGTGGGGGTAGGCACTGTCCTCTTGGAGAGAGTATTCAGGGACCTCTGCGCAGCAGCTCTTCTGGAGCTAAGCCCTGGCCCTGCAGAGCCTGGGATGGGAGTGGAGATGTAAGCATGGGAAGAGGGAAGGCAGCCAGGGCCCAGGAGGGAATCCGCAACCTTTGGGCATGGCCTGTGGTCCAGCTTCCCTCTCATTCCAGCCCTCTGGGGAAGCCCTAATTTAGAAGTGGGGACCCACTCCAACATCCCAAAGGTGATGAGAAAAGGATGGGAATCTCTTGCCTTCGGTCTCCCTCGCACAAGAGCTTTATTATTTTTTTCCCTTTCCCCTCCTCATTCCCTTAATTGCAGATGTTCTAATTAAACCCTCAAATAGTTGTTATGCCGTTTTAAAAGGTACTTATTCAAGTGTCAACCAGGCTGGGCTGGGAGGAGGCAGCGTAGGGCGGCGAATTAAAGGTAGATTGACTAATCACGGCGACGATCATAATAATAAAATCAGAGGGAAAAAAATCACATTACGACTTTTCGTGGAAAGGAGGGAGCAGGCAGCCAGCGGCCGCCAGCCCCGCGCCGCCGCCGACACAAAGAGTGCGGGCGATTCCGCGAGACTGATTTATGACGTTTTACAGCCCTATAAAAGCTGTAGCGACGAGGCAAGCGCTCCTACCACCGCTGGCAGATTTAGTCTAATAAATAAAACATAAACAGTTAACTTTATGTGTCACTTTTATTGTTATCAAGTAAAATATAGCCGAGCCCCGGCAAGCTATGATTTTAAACTATAATTGTTATCAAGTGCAACAAGGGGACCCGGCTCCCTCCCTGGGCTCTCCCCTCCGCTACCCCCCCAACTCTGAGTTATGGGCGATCAGTTAATTGGAATCGGTGGCAAGACAGGGCCACCCCTAGCTGGTGGGGGGGGTAGGAAAGCAGCTCTTCCTGGCCCCCTCCCTCTTCTATGTCCCTGCCACCCCCCTCTATCAGAGGCAGAGAGAGGGGAGGGGGTGTGAACCGGCTGGAGACCCCCAAGCCTGGCCCTGCCTCCCCAGCTTGGTGAGCATAGCCTTCCGTTTTTGGAAAGCAGCCTGGAGCTTGCCCTTAGGAATTCGTGTTTACATGTAAACACACGTGTTACATGGATACAGCTCCTAGCCAGAAGTAAGCAGGCTCTACCCACACAGGCCTCCTTCTTAGCCAGGTCTGCCCTCTGTGGGGATAGAGAAAAAATTCTCAGGGCACTGGCTGGGCACCATCACAGGGCACTGATTCCTGGCAGAAAGCTCTCCTCCTTGCCCCAGCTCATTGGGAGCCAGCCTTGGAGATAATTGTCAGAAAACAGCAGGCCCGGCTGAATGGGGAGTGGAAACAGGAACCATCAGTAGAAGAGACCCTCTGCCCTGGGGCTGGGGCAGGGAGGGTCAGTGGGTACCAGGGGAGGGTGAGACTTCTGAACTCTGCTTTTGCCAACCACTTCCTGTCTCTCTTCAGCGGGGGCTCAACCCCCAGACCTCCAGAAATGACGTCAGAATCATTTGCATCCCGCTGCCTCTACCTGCCTGGTCCAGCTGGGACCCTGCCTCGCCGGCCCCATGGCCAGAGGGTTGGGTGAGTGTGTATGGGGAAGGGGGGCTGGACTCTGGTATCCTTGGATGGGGGGCACTCTAGGCTCTCCAGCCTCCTCGGCTCAGCCTGGGCCCCTCCCCATCCAACCTCCACTCCAGTCCTCATTCAACTTCCTCTTCCTGCGAAAGAGGGGCGCTGCCCGGTGACCTACACAGACTGAGACACGATCGCCATGAATGGAGACCTCTGGAAAAGCTCAGGAGCCGAGGCCCACGGGGCCCAGCAGAGGCCTGAGGGGAGACCCTGGGCGAGGGCTGAATCGCTGCCTCCCGACAGCCCCCCAATGCCCAGGCTTTGGAGGGGAGCCGGGAGCTTTCCATCTCCTTTTGCAGGGGAGGGTTGTCAGTCTGACGGGATGCGCACTGGGTGCACCCCAGCCTCTGCCAGCTAACCCCACATCACCACCCACCCCCCAGCACCACCACCACTACACACACAAAAAAATTGGATACATTTTGAATAAAGCGATTCGGTTCCTTATCCGGGGACTGGGTTGCTCCGTGTGATTGGCCGGCGGAGTCACATGGTGAAAGTAACTTTACAGGGTCGCTAGCTAGTAGGAGGGCTTTATGGAGCAGAAAAACGACAAAGCGAGAAAAATTATTTTCCACTCCAGAAATTAATGATCATGAGCTCGTATTTGATGGACTCTAACTACATCGATCCGAAATTTCCTCCATGCGAAGAATATTCGCAAAATAGCTACATCCCTGAACACAGTCCGGAATATTACGGCCGGACCAGGGAATCGGGATTCCAGCATCACCACCAGGAGCTGTACCCACCACCGCCTCCGCGCCCTAGCTACCCTGAGCGCCAGTATAGCTGCACCAGTCTCCAGGGGCCAGGCAATTCGCGAGGCCACGGGCCGGCCCAGGCGGGCCACCACCACCCCGAGAAATCACAGTCGCTCTGCGAGCCGGCGCCTCTCTCAGGCGCCTCCGCCTCCCCGTCCCCAGCCCCGCCAGCCTGCAGCCAGCCAGCCCCCGACCATCCCTCCAGCGCCGCCAGCAAGCAACCCATAGTCTACCCATGGATGAAAAAAATTCACGTTAGCACGGGTAGGCAACTTTGCTTTTTCCTCCCCCCTCCCTCCCTTCTTCCCCAGCGCTCCCCACCCTCCTCGGCCCCCTCTGGCCCCGTCCTCCTTTCTCTCCTTCCCCCTCTCTCTCCAGGAGCGACTCTGGGTTAGCACAATTGAACTGGATTTACGAGCGAGAATGGGTAATTACATCCCCCATAAATTTTATGGCTTAGCTACTCTGGGCAGTCCGAGCCATGTGCTACGATCTGTTATGTATGTGTGAAAACTATGCTCGCTTTCTAAGGGCGCATAAATAATTCAGTGTCGTTACAATGAGGATTCCCCTCTTATTACACTACAAAGTCTTCAGCTTCCTTCAACTTCTTTATAACCCATTTAAGCTTGATGACTTTATTTCCAACACTCCCTCCTCCTGTTCCTCAGAGCTGAGGATGGGGTGAAGGTGGGGGGGCGGGGAGCCTGCTGCCTCTGAACCCCACTATTTGCTTTTCCCCTCCCCCTCCCCCCAGTGAACCCCAATTATAACGGAGGGGAGCCCAAGCGCTCGAGGACAGCCTACACTCGGCAGCAAGTCCTGGAATTAGAGAAAGAGTTTCATTACAACCGCTACCTGACCCGAAGGAGAAGGATCGAGATCGCCCACTCGCTGTGCCTCTCTGAGAGGCAGATCAAGATCTGGTTCCAAAACCGTCGCATGAAATGGAAGAAGGACCACCGACTCCCCAACACCAAAGTCAGGTCAGCGCCCCCGACCGGCGCTGCGCCCAGCACCCTCTCGGCAGCTACCCCGGGCACTTCTGAAGACCACTCCCAGAGCGCCACGCCGCCGGAGCAGCAACGGGCAGAGGACATTACCAGGTTATAAAACATAACTCACACCCCTGCCCCCACCCCGTGCCCACACCCTCCCCTCACACACAAATTGACTCTTATTTATAGAATTTAATATATATATATATATATATATTGGTTCTTTCCTCTCTTCCTCTCACCTTGTTCCTTGTCAGTTCCAAACAGACAAAACAGATAAACAAACAAGCCCCCTGCCCTCCTCTCCCTTCCACTGTTAAGGACCCTTTTAAGCATGTGATGTTGTCTTAGCATGGTACCTGCTGGGTGTTTTTTTTTAAGGCCATTTGGGGGGGTTATTTATTTTTTAAGAAAAAAAAGCTGCAAAAATTATATATTGCAAGGTGTGATGGTCTGGTTTGGGTGGATTTCAGGGGAAATGAGGAAAAGAAAAAAGGAAAGAGATTTTAAAGCCAGTTCTCCTCCTTCACCTCCTCCTCCTTCCCCTCTCTTTCCTTAGGCCTTTTGCATTGAAAATGCACCAGGGGAGGTTAGTGAGGGGGAAGTCATTTTAAGGAGAACAAAGCTATGAAGTTCTTTTGTATTATTGTGGGGGGGGGAGGAGAGGGGGTGAAGACAGCAGACAAAGCTAAATGCATCTGGAGAGCCTCTCAGAGCTGTTCAGTTTGAGGAGCCAAAAGAAAATCGAAATGAACTTTCAGTTCAGAGAGGCAGTCTATAGGTAGAAGCTCTCCCCACCCCCATCGTGGTTATTGTGTTTTTGGACTGAATTTACTTGATTATTGTAAAACTTGCAATAAAGAATTTTAGTGTCGATGTGAAATGCCCCGTGATCAATAATAAACCAGTGGATGTGAATTAGTTTTACGTCAATGTCTGATGGTTTCTTTTTATCCCCCTCCTCTCTCTGGCCTGGTAACATACCATCTTCTCTATAGTTGCCTAAGTTTACTTTAAACAAACACACAAATCTTAGCTCTCCATTAGTCTTCCAATGTCCTTGGAAGAACCAGCAAGGGGGTTGGGGTATGGGATCTTCAGAAGAGGGCATGTGAAGGATTAAGGCTGATTTCTCCAGTCCCCTGTCTTCACCCTGAGTCTGCAGAGAGTCCAGACTCCTCTGGGGGTAACTTCAGTGGACCTGAGGGTTGGGGGGTGTCTCACTTTTCTATAGTTAGGTACAGTTTTTTCTTTTTGTCTGTTCTCTCTCTTCCCTTCTCCCTCCTCTGTGCTGAGTAGGCCTGCCTAATTTGTAGACAAGAGGGCAAGTTTAGGGAGTGGGAAGGAGAAGAGTTTTCTCTCATCTTTTAGGGCTCTTTTGGGATGAGGGATTAAGGAAGACATCCCCTTAACATTTGAGTTCTTAAAAGAAGAAAGATTTTGAGCTGGTGATTCTGAAGCAGCAAAGTGACCTGTCAGGATGCCTTCTCTGTTTGTTTAGGCTTGGATAAAAGGGTAAGGTGGAGGCCAGAGGCCTGGGAGGTGCCCTTGTTATGGGTAGGCCTCAAAGACTGATGCCTGGAGATAATAAAAGACTTTTACCTTTTTATTCTCTAACTTTTATTATGGACCTGCCAGGTGTTGAGAAGAGACTCAGGGAGAATCAAGGACCATACTCTCTTCCTATAACCTCCCAGATTCTGGCAGGGCCTGGGGATAGCCTGAACAAGTCTCTCTGGCTGTAAAGAAATAAATTAATTAAACAAAATTGTTTCCTTGGGGCTAGAAAAGAAACAAAAAATCTTGCCTGGATTACCTGAATAATACATTCAAGCCAAAGGCTCCCAAATAATTCTGGTCCTGAGAACCAGGCCCTAGCGAGGCCTGCTTAATTTTTCACTTGTTTGTTAGGAAGTGGGAGGAGGGCTGCTGGTGAGCTTCTTCTCTGGCAATGTATCCATATTTCAGGAAGAAAGGCAATTAGAATTAGAAGAGAGGGAGAAAGAGATCTAGGGTATGCAGGGAAGCCAGGGATACCCCTTCTCTCCATCCCCAAACTCTGGAGTGAAAGACAACAGCAGGACTAAGTTGTGAAAATCACTTTGGTATGCTTTGAATTTATTTCCTTTTGAACCACTTGCTGGATGTTACTTGGAGCGCGTGTGTGTGTGTGTGTGTGTGTGTGTGTGTCCTCACATGTGTGTGCGCATGGGGGAATCTCTTAGTCCTTTTGGTCTACTTGTCCTCCCTTAATGGTACCCTGGAGGCAACAAAACAGGCTGCTACAGTGTTAGGAAGCAGGCCAACAATTATCACGAGTTATTTTATGTAATCAAGTGAATTAGGGGCCACATCTGACTGCAGCCCCTATTGTCTTGAGGCAATTGCCCTTGGAACAGGAAAAGGGGGTTCTAGCTGTGCTTGGGAAAAGGGAAGGAAGGTCTAAGGGCACCAGGGTGTCTTTTCAAGCCTGTAAAGAAGCTAAGATGGAAAGCAGGGAAGGGGTAAATTGAGATCCATGGTTCTTTCCTAAGTTTGCTCGTGTGGCTTTCAGGGAGTTTATCCCTCTCCTCCCAAAAGTGGAAGAGATGAGAGTGAGCAAGGGGGAAATTACCACATTTTATTTCCTAAGTTTCTCCCTGAAATTACTGAAGGGACACTCTTTAGTTCAGGAAAAGCAGCAATAAAAGGGTCAGAACACTTATTTTATTTCACCTTCTTTACGTCTCCTGTTTCTTCTCCTTCCTCTTCCCTCATATACATAGTCATTCTCTGTGTGTCTCCTTCTTCCTTTCTGGTCTGAACAGGGGAAACATCAGAAATCCGTAAATGAACCCAAACTAAAATCCCTTACATTGGAGTTTGAAAATTTTGGCCTCTGGCCTTCCCTCCAGTGGGCTCCATTTTCTCCCCTTTCCCCAAAGCTCTCCTTTGCCTTGGACCTGGCCACCCAGAATGGCAGGGCAGGGTTGGGGTGTGGGGGGCCACTCTGGGCAGAGGGCCCCAAGCTCCAGCAGTCTTGGTCCCTGCTGCTCTGCCTGATGCTGCAACAGCCTCATTGGGAAGCTGAGGGCCGGGCTTTTATTTAAGTTGGGTTAAGCAGTGGGGAAAGGCTGGGGGGAGGACACAGCCCAGGTTCACGGGAAGGACACAGCATTTTCTCTCCCATTGCCTTTATATTCGGCAGCGCCTCTGACCTCTCCCCCACCCCCATCTCTGACCCTCCCAAGCCAGCCCTTGCTCGGCCCTGGTCTCCAGATAGGATGCCACTGCTTTTGTAGGACTGGAGATTTCTTGCCCAGAGTAATGGGAGAGGCAAGGCGCATGAATGCCTGTTAGTGCATTGTATCCCTCTCTCTTCAATGGCTAAGTAAAAAGAAGACGGGTGAAACGGCGACACCAATCTTCCAGGGTTCCTTCTCTCCAACCGCCAGGAGATCCCCACAGACCAAAAATCCCTTTGACATGTAAGTAGTTAGCACTCGATCTGCTCTGGGGGTGAGGAGCACAAAATTATTAAACTCTATCTCTATTTGCCACTCAATTTTTGTCTCAACTCCCGGTCTTAGGGATGGAAGGCGGGAAATCCAGCTGTGAGCGGAGGGGTTCTGCTTGGGGAAAAAGACATTTCTGTGCCGAATCTGTGTACCTGGGGAGTAAAGAAATTTGGCTCAAAAAACAGAGAGAGAGTCTGAAAAAGTGGGACTGAGGGAAAAGGACTAGGACACTTTGCTTTTCCGAGGGTCTCTTGCTGCTGTTTGTGCGAAGTTTCCTACAAAGTTTTCTCTGCAATCTGTGTTTCAGTTTTCTTTCTGCTTGGACTTGGCAGATTGAAATCCAGGGACAGCTTTCCACAGCTAGGGGTGTGTGTGTGTGTGTGTGTGTGTGTGTGTGTGTGTGTGTGTGTGTGTGTGT